GGGCTGAAAATAGTCAGGTTCTGTCTAACTAGCGAAACGGCTCGATATAGAATAGAAATAATAGATATAGAATGCGTACTTGATCACGAATCATTTCTTCACTTTTTTTCATGCGTTTTCAAATCCGTTAAAGGCGGATTTCTATTCAGTGCAAAATGTTGCGCGATCGACTTTTTGCGATCGCTTTCTTTTGAAATGCAAACAGTCAAGCGGAACAAATCTAATTATCTGTAGTTCACTGTACATATTTCAAAAGAAAGCTGATAGCAAAAAAATCGATCGTGCGAAATTTTGCACTGAATGGAAATCCGGATGCCTTAAGTTTCATCGTCGAAAGTTTTTCTATTCTATTCTCCAGACCAGTCGATGTATTTTTGCAATCCGTTCTCGTGTTAGCAGTGACAAGAGACAACACTACTGCATGAAATTGCCTCGCTCTTACTTCGTTCTGCTGTCATGTAAACGGGGTCAAGGATTTGCCTTTTCTTCGTTCAGTATGGTTAAAACCATCTGGCAAAAGTCGCCACCAGTGGGATTCAACTTCTGTAGGGATAATTTTGGGCTAAGTATAATTGATAGATAAATTGTAAAAAATCTTAGTTAAGTCAGATAAAATTCCGCGGGAAGCACTTCTTGGCACCAAACATTTTGGGAAATCGATCATAATTTGTACATAAAAGCTAATCTCATACGTATAGAGAATTATATTATATATCTATATATGTAAATTTATTGGTATACAATTAGAATAAATTATAAAGATATATATTGATTGACTGTGACATAAATAAATTATCAAAATAGCTAGTGTGTTTTGTCTATTAATTAATATTCTAACTAATAGTAAGATTTTTCCAGAGATTTCTATGAAGTAGGCCGTTTTCAGAATGCGAAAGCAATGGATTTTCAGTGCGACATTTCGACATTTATTTTTGGTGGGTTAAGTCAAGAAAGGAAGCTACTACCTGCGGGATTTAATATAGAGCGAACGTTACATGACTCGAGCGTCGTTTAACACAAAATGTCTTCCAAGCCCTTGGGCGTTCGAAGTAAAGTCCGAGGATTCATAAAGTTTAGCTTAAAACCCTGCATAGGAGGACAAAATGACGTGATGCCAGAGAGGTCGTTCCAGAGGAGTATGAATCGAAGTCGGAGGATCTGAAGAATGTGATTTTACAAAAGTTACGAGCGGCAGGAAGCCGTTGTGGGGGGGGGGGGGGGCCTTACTGGTGTCGCTAGTTCCGTGACCACCGGATTTGCAGTTGTAGTAGAAAGTAAGTTGAAACCAGTATGAGGAGATTTTAATCGGGTAGACTATGGGGAGTTGTAATCGTGGGTTATAAATTTAGTTGAAAAATACTCTGAATTAACCGCCCCCACGCTCCTGTGACAATTTATTGGTGAGAGATTTCTAGTAAAGCGCATCGCAATACATTTTCCATGAAGAACCTCCAGTGATTGGGTTATGCAAGATAAACCCAGCCCGATCAAATCCGTGTCGTGAAACGGCGCAGGGTAGCGGAAACCATGTTGCAAACGATGGAGAGAGGGTTTGATGAATTCATGCACGTTTGAATCGGTTTGACGTTTCTGTGTACTTTATGAGAACTTTGGAAACTATGCACAAAAGCGAGATTTGGTCGATAGTTAATCACTATTTTGTTTCAGCATTGTCCTCAGAGATATTCACTATGCCCCCCCGTGGATGCTATCCTTTATGACGTTCTTACATGAAGTTTTGTATGTGTGATTCTCTTAAAAATTTCGAAAACACAAAACACTGCAGGAAAGTGAAAATGTCAGCAAAAAAGGACTATTATAAAATTCTTGATATATCTCGCGAGGCATCGCAGAGTGATATAAAACGAGCTTACCGTAAACTAGCTCTTAAATATCATCCAGATAAAAACAAAAGCCCAGATGCGACGAAGAAATTTCAAGATATAGGTGAAGCGTACTCGGTTCTTTCAGACAAGGCAAAACGACGCAGATATGATTTGGGTAGCACAACACCGTTCTCAGGATTCAGCGACAATGAATTCAGCGATTTTGCCTCGGACTTTGCTACCACCTTTTCTGGAAGTTTCACAATGGACGACGCTTTTAATGTATTTTCAGATTTTATGTATGGTGGGGATATGCCTGTGTTTTTCCGGGAAGAAAACACGACATATCATAAAGTTGATGTGCCTTTATCTGTGGCACAACATGGGGGGAATATAGATCTTCCTTTTGAAAAAGCAGAGGGGGAGAACTCTCTTCATATTGATGGTATTTATAGTGGAAAATGGAAACCATTCATTGTTGTCGGAGAAAGTGATACTGTTATTTTAAAAGTTGTGTTCCCCCCTGATATGAGTTTGGAAGAAAGACATCGACAGCAGAAAATGTTTCTAGGAATTCATGCTATATCATGGGTGGCAAATACAGTTCAAGATGTCTTGGAAAGTCATCCAGTAATGGGAGCAATTGGCTTGGGGTTTGGTGCCGCTGCACTGTTTATGTTAACAGTTAAAAGGTTAACTGATCATGAGTGACTATAAAAATTGTATATACACACAGATCCTATAATACATGTATTTGTATAATTAAACACATCAAACAAGCTTCATCTAGAAATAGTCGTATCTGATCTGTTTATGTGTTTTCAACATTAGATGAACTATTATAAACCTCTGAATATACCCCCTGCCTGTGTTAAGCCAACCATATTTCACTAATTCTCAAGCCATTCAGAATATTAGCCCCCCCCCCCCTCCAACTGTATAAGCCCATGGGCTTATTATTGGACAGGTATTTATTAACACAGCAACAGGGATTCCAACTGTAGCTCAGACCAACTTCTTTTATGTTTATATTTCTTTTTGTTCATGATATACAGTAGTTACCACAATAAATATTAATTACTAACATACAGTACAATAAATAATAGCGAGCAAGCGGCATTTTTGTCAACACAGACGTCACCCAAAAATTGGTATAACTAATTTTGATGGCATTTTGCATCATAGCGCTCATGTAAGAAAGAAAAAAAACTTTAAAAATCTTATGTTTTGTCATATGTGTTGAAGATTACCACAAACTGATATAGGGGAAGTTTTTAGTCCAGTCCCCCCTCGACAATCTGACATCTGTGTTGACAAAAACGTTGCTTGCTTTAATTAAGCTCCCTGTTATTAGTAACACCAAATGTTGTCCATATCTAAGCCCAAAAAATGCTTATGAACAAATATAAGCCCAGGGCTTATATTAAAAACCCATTATTGGAATTTTTCCCCTCACCCTGTGATATTTGCTATATGAGCATGTATGAACCAGCTGTAAATTAATTATGAAATTGTTGTAGTGTGTACTGTACAACATTAAAATAATTTGTATGTATTAAATCAATTTTACAGACAAGTAATATATTCAATTGTTCTTATACTTTGTATGACTGTATAATGTGTAGATTAAATTTACATTAATTGTGTAATTGATAATCGGCATAATCCCTTGTTAAAAGTTCAAAAGTTACTTGCCATATGTCAACATTACTGAAATTGTTTTGGTGGATAATCCAAGCGAGCATATATTATATATACATATATAAAATAGCCGTTTTTTGTTTTCCTGCCGAAAGAAAGAATTAATTAGTAGGTATAGGAAAGTTGAGGTTGATTGTAGACTGTAGTGTTTGTATGTATGCAATTGTTCTTCTAATTGTTCTAACTTAATACTTTTTAGAAACATGTACTGTACATGAATTAATGAATTATCTTACCCTGCAGGTATCCTACCACAAGAATGTAGATGCCCCTGCCCACTTGAGAATTGATGGTTAGGGGTGGACCATTTGATTTGAGGGATTAAGAAGAATTTTTTCCGCCCAGGGAAACAAGACAGATATTTTTTTCCTGTAAAAGTGCAGCACAAGATATTTTTTCCCCAATATATTTTGCAGCAGGATATTTTTTTTTGCCTCTCATAAGAACGTCTTACAGTAACTTAAGGCTTTCATATATCTATCGTCAGAGACGTTCTGACGTAGCTGGGGTTTTCAGTAAGAGGAGGCCGAGAACTGAATCCCAAGAGGGGCCAAGGAATTTTCACTGTGCTTTATTTTATATGGTTTATGTCTTAATGTTCCCCACACTAAAGCGTGCAGGTTTACTTACAAAACTGTATAACTGCACCAAAACCAAAAACATGCAGGGATAGAGTAGAGTACTTGATCCTATAACCTTGGGGGGTTCGGGGGCATGCTTGCCCGAGAAAATTTTAAAATTTGAACCTCGGAAATGCTATTTCCTGCGTTTTCAGCCATGGATTCGTTCAACAACTTTGCTGTACTAAGCCTAAGGAACACTTCCTGTCCTTTATTTTAAACAAGGGAAAATCACAAAATGAGCTTTGATTAATGTGTAATAAAACAAGATTTCAATAATGTGATTTTTAACTCCCCTCCGAAACAACAATGTTCCACCAAATATAGCTCTGTAGCTTTTCAATCATTCATACAGATAGCTTGTTGGGGATCAGGTTGCATCCTCTTCAGAAACTTTTTAAAATCTAGACTCTCTAAACTGGCATTTTCCCATTAAAATCATCGTATATACAATACGTTCAATTAGCATCCTGTAGATGGGCCTTTGAAGCTTTAATAGTTTGGAGTGCTATGTTATCAAAAAACTCACACATCCAAAAATACTTTTTCTACCATGCATATTAGATATGTATAAATAACTTATAAACTTGTACATATCTTAAGCCCAGATTTTCTCATGGGGGGGCAACAATTTTGCCAGGGAACGCCACTGGCTATCGTATGTTATAGGCTCCAAAGGCGGTAGACTCCCTGTGATGTTGGCCACTGTTCACCCCGTGTTCTTTCAAGCAAATGTACCTGCTCAAAAATGCAAAATCTTAGCCTGTGGACACATTGACACAATACTGAAGCATAGGAAGAACGTCAGTAGATTTACATGTAGGAATTTGTTTTGAGCGCTCTCATTTGCATGATATTTTTTTTCTCAATTGTATGCTGCATGATTTTTTTTTCTTTCTCCTTGGATTGCAGGAATTTTTTTTTTGAAATCTTCCAACCCCCAACCTCCTCAAAAATCAAATGGTCCACCCCCTAAAGCATATTGGGTGCATACGGAAAACTATTCTGCAATATATATATATATATATATATATATATATATATATATATATATATATATATATATATATATATATATATATATATATATATATAAAAACATATATATATATATATATATATATATATATATATATATATATATATATATATATATATATATATATATATATATATATATATAAATATAATATATATATATATATATATATATAAATATATATATAAAGAACTGTGCCCACTGTCTAATAAATGTATCACCGAATCGGTTGTATATCAAGCCACAGTCACTACTAAGGACAAAACTACCAATAGACCTCCCCAAACATATGTCGGCCTTACTGAAAACTCGTTCAAAACAAGACTTGCAAACCATAAAGCATCATTTAGCTCTTTTGACAAACGGAACGCTACTGAACTTAGCAAATATGTGTGGGAATTGAAAAATCGAAACATCCATTATACAATCAAATGGAAACTATTAAAACGAGCTAAGCCTTATAACTGTGCTTCAAATAGATGTAATTTGTGTTTATGGGAGAAATACTTTATTATTTGTCAGCCTAAAATGGCCACTTTAAACAAACGTAACGAGTTAGTATCAGCATGTAGGCATAATAAAAAATTCCTTTTAAGTAACATTTAAAAGCTAGACATTTAAATATACCGCGGTGTGTTAATCTTTCCGCGTCCTGTCAGCTTATCATATAACATGTTTATTAAATCGCGTGCTTTGTAAATAGGATTAAGTTTCATGTCTCATCCGCTTGTACATATAACCTTGTAAGTTTTAGTCTATAGTCATTAGGTCAATTTATCTGAAGAGTGCCACATACTGTGGTACGAAACTATTTAGTAATAAAGATGCCTAGTGGATTTTGTTGATTTGTTGTACCTTAATTTAAATATGCTCTGGTTTTCCATTGAGCACTTTGCCAAAAGTTTTTATAACCAACAAAACCAAATTTATATATATATATATATATATATATATATATATATATATATATATATATATATATATATATATATATATATATATATATATATATATATATATATATATATATATATATATATATATATATATATATATATATGCGCGAGTAAACTATACTATTTCCTGACATGTCGCACTATAGATGTTGCATTTCCGCAGCTCGTTACTGGGCACTTGTTTTGCCGTATTAATTAAAATTGAAAGAGCCAAACGCGAGTTTGGGATATTTTGAGCTAGGGGTTACAATTACCCCTAGCCATTTTATTCTTGAAATTACTTACTATTTATTAATTTTGACAGAAATAATTAACTATAACTTTTACATATGTATCAACATTGTTTTGCCCAGT